ACCAATGCTACTTGTCTCTGTAGATTCTCAGACACACTAAACCTATTAAACAGCAGCTGACATGCTGGGCTTACCCTGTTCTCTGTTATCAGAGATGAGGCCCTTTCTTCTCTCTGCCCCAGATTTGGGATGTTATAAATCTTTAAAATGAGTCCTGCTGTGTCTCCTGTCCCTTCCTGCCCCCGCCACTCCCCGCCACCTTCCAGCCGTGTGCCAGGGTTCCTTCATCTATACATGGAAAATTTTTCACCTGCAGATTCTAAATCGAGCCCTTGCCTTACTCTTCAGAATTTCTGGTCCCAGCTGGGCAAGGTGGCACATACCTGTAGTCCCAGCAATTTAGGAGACAGGAGGATCACAATTCAAGGCCAGCCTGCACAACTTAGTGAGACCCTGTTTCAAAAAAAGGAAAAAAAAGAAAAGAAAAATGGCTGGGGATGTAGCTTAGGGGTGGTAAAGCACCTTGGGTTCAGTCCCCAGTATTGCCAGACCCCCCCAAAAAATATATATATATATATATTTATATGTTTATCTTTGCTGGTCCCAATGGCTTTTTTTTTTTTTTTTTTTTTTGGTTGTAGGTGGACACGATATCTTTATTTTTTTAATGTGGTGCTGAGAATTGAACCCAGTGCCTCACATATGCTAGGCAAGCACTTGACCACTGAGCCACACCCCCAGCCTCCCAGTGGCTTCTTTTTGAGCCACTGTTTTCTGATTCTCTGTCTCTGGCACCAGCTGCCGTGCCTTGTCATAGCTGAACTAGTGTCACCCAGGCTTCCAAGGAGTTGCATAGCCTTGTCCTCTGTTGCCCTCAGCCCTGGGTGGACAGTCTGCAGGCGAGAGCTTGTCCTATACTTGTACTTCAGAGGGAGAGTATTTAGTTGCCCCCATTGCCTCCCAGCAACAACCTGTCCCCAGGCACTGTGGCCCATGCAGCTCACTCTTTGGTCTCTTCCCCATTAGTCCCCAGAGGAGCTTGTGTGGCTGAGCAGCTGAGCAGCCTCCTGACTGACTGCCCTTTTGCACTTGTTTTTCTCTTCCAGCTGCTGAGCCTCTGCTCCCTAAGCAAAGCCCGGGTGCCCAAGCAGCCACCACGGCCACAGAGTGCAACCTACAGAGAAGCTGGTCACCGTGGGAGACGGAGGGGACGTGTGTGTGCGTGTGTGCTGAGGAAGGAGTGGTGTGCCGTCTGCGTGTGCATGCATCTGTTTCCATTGGAGATCCCGAATGCCGCCTGGGCTGGGAGGCCCTGGAACTCCCCTCACCACGAGCRCAGGCAGTTTTCTGGTCTCCAGACAAGAGGCCCAAGGTGTCCATAGCCTTGACCCCAGCCAAGACCYGTCCTGGTGTATCCCCTGCCTTGTCCAGTAGAACACAGTGGTAGGACCCCAGCTAGAACTCTGGCAACTCCTCCCCACACCCACTCCCTCCTCACATGGACTGAGGGGTAGGGGGTCCACATAGTTGGCACTTGTCCAAAGCATGGGATTCTTGGCAGCCAGAGTCCTGCTKGGTTCTCAGCTCTGAGGCTGGTGACTGGGCGGGCTGAAGCTGACGGGTGCTGTACAGATTTAGCCCTGGCCTGGTTTCTTATTCTAAAATTTTCTGGGTACCCAGAACTGAGCACAAGTTGTAGACAGATCCGGAAAGTTCCCACCATTGTACGGGAGTGCGCCTGGCTGACGTGGTGCGTCCAGCGTGGAGATGGCAGCTCTAGACGCATATCTGCCTTTTCAGGACTTAGGAGCCAAGGTCAGGGCTAGAGTCCCATTTCTCACTGTTCCTTCCCCAGAAGATGGGAGAGAGCCAGCCTCAGCCTCTACCAAGAGCTGTGCAGGGGCCAGGGTCAGAATCAGTCCCTCAGCAGGAGACCAGGTCCAGGTGGCTTAAGGCTCCTGGGCTCCTCTGGCCACACTCCAAGGCACCAGGTGCTCCAGGGAGGACAGCGGACGCCAGCCAGGGAATTTGGCTGGTCTTGGTTCTTAGGTTTCCAGGRCCTGCTCTGAACTGGCCAGCTGTCCCACTAGCTGGGCTCTAAAGACAAGGGACTGAGAGGTGGGCACTGCCAGGCAGTTGGCAGAAGTACAAGTAGAGCTCACACCCAGCAYACCATCCAGAAGCAGCAGGGGAGGTTTGACCAGAGAAGCCGAGCGAGCCTCACATTCCAGGAGCGCCGGCTCCCACCCCTCCGCCCACCACCAAGGCCTGTGTTGAGGACAAGCAATGGAAAGCAGGACTGTGCGGTCACCTAGAGCAAGTCTTCCTTCCACCCCGTGGCCTGCACTTGAGCCACAGAGTGTGTGGTGTGKGTGTGKGTGTGGGTGTGKGTGTGTGTGCGCGTGCGCACAAAGCTGAAAGGCTAGTTCCTGTAAGGATTTTTGTTTTCACATGAAACATTAAGCTGGCCTCTGGGCCCTTTCTTCTACCTCCCCTGTGACCTTTCGTAGCCTCAACGTTGTTAGCTCCCTTGGCCCTGGTCCTGACTGTCCTCTGTCCCTGGGCCAGGTTCCTGTCTCCTAGAGCTGTCCAGCACACTGACTGACAGGCTTCTTCCTGAGATGTCCTCAGGTTTTCTCAKCCAGAGAGCTGCCTTTAGAGTCCAACTGTTGTATGCGTGTCACCCTCACTAAAATGTCCTGTCATCACATGGGGGAAACAGCACAGGTGACGGTGTTTTCAGAGCTTCCTGTTCCCTCAGCCCCAGCCAGGAGGAAGGAGCTGCGGCCCACTGCCAGGAGAGAGCGGGCTTGGAGAGAGGTCCGAGAGCAGAAGGTCCAAGGCGAAGGGCGCGTTCAGTGGTTACCTAGCGGCACTTCACCTGTCGGGACGGTTCCCTTTCTTGCCTGTTTGCTATGGCTCTTCCCTAAGGCACCAYACTTGTCAAGACCACGTCCCCTACTCCTCCACCAGTCCTGGCATGCTGGCCCACTCCAGGACAGCCTCTCAGGGGCCTGGAGCTCCACGGTGGCTTCTCGTCTCCTCCATACCCAGGTGGCCGTGAGGACGGCCACAGAGTGAAGCCCTAAACCCTGTCTCAGGGCCAGCGTGGGGAAGAGGTGGTCACAGGAAGAGTGCACTTTACAGAAGTTTCCTGTTGCTGGGAAGGTGTGTTTCTCCTGCAGTTTGTGAATATTCACTTGTTTTATAAATGTCTGATCCTGTCAGTAAAGCCGTGCCGTGGTCAGTCTTGTGGGAGGCCTGGGAGTGGAGGTCGTGCTGCTGGATCTGAGTGAGGCTTAGGCAACACCACCATGGCTCCCAGGGAGGTCCCACTGGACTTGCCAGGAGCTGTGCAGAGCACTCAGGGCTTAGGACGRAGTTCCTGAGTGCTCCCCCGCAATGACCCATGGGTCCCACTCCCCAGTCCACCCTTCACCTATGTGTAGTGGCTTAGCAGCAGCCATGCAGTAAGGGGCATACTCAGATGGCCTGCTGGAGGTGGGCAGCAGCCCAGCCCCGGCCCTGGATGCTGGCTGCGTCTCATGCCATCTGGCCGAGGAGTGCCATGGGAAACTGCACACTGCACAGAGGGAGAAGGGAAAAACTTGACCCCGTTCTACACTCTGCTCTGAGGCTCTTGCTGGCCTTTGCTCCCTTCTCCCAGCTCCTCATGTGGCTGTGGCTTGGTCCTGGGAACTAAGATTCCTTTGTTCTTGAGTAAAAGGTTCTGGAGGAGGGAGATTCCTCTTTGCACACACCTCCTGAGCACACACGTGTTAGTCACAGTGATTTCCTGGGAGGAAAAGACATGGCAGCAGATGGCTAGTGTGAGGGGCCTGAGCCAAAGTACAAAGTAGCAGGAAAGTGAAGTGACCATCTTTCCAGGCCTCAGTGGCAGGAAGAGGAGAGGCAGCCAGGGTGAGCTCCAGGTGCTGGAGCTTCTTGGGGCTGGAGCAGGGGTCGMTTACTGCAGGGAGGGTGCCTCCAGCTCCTTGCTGGGCACTACATGGAAGGAAAAGGAGTCAGCATCACCAGCTGGCAGTCAAGATCCTATTTGCAAATAGGACCCCACAAGCCATGAAAGTATGCCCTGCCCCTTTGTACCAGGCTGAGGGAGATCAGAGTCTCTACAGTTGTCTGCAATGGCCAATAAACAGKCTAGAGACCTTAGGACCCACGAACACTGGGACCCTGGCCCTGGCATTCCACGCTCTGTAAGAGTACCTAATCCTGAGCACAGAGCCCTGAAGGCCCACGCTTGGCCTCTGATGAGAGATTAGGAAGAAACCAAAGCTACACGTGRTAAGGTGCAGAGAACAACCACCAGAGGTATCCCAAGAAGCAGTGGGGACGAGAAGAAGTGGGGACGAGATGAAGGTTCCAGGTCTTAAAATGTGAGAAAGAAGTTCTGAGGTGTCTGGGTGCAAGAAATGCAACCGAGGTACTGAGGAGGAAGAGGCTCTGAGAGGCTGAGAAGCCAAGAGGAGGGCACAGGCCAACACTGGTAGCTGTTTGGGTCAACTTTTAGGCTGCACCCTCTAGGGAGAATTCTTGCAGGGTCCTCTCAAAGTAGGACAAGAATGAGGTGACGCCTGGGGCCCAGTTCAGGAAACAGGCTGTTCCCAGTTCCCAGTGATAACACTAATACGCCTCGTCTTCACAACAGCCAATGAGAGGGATCATTATTGTCCCCATTTCACAGATGAGAAAACCAAGCCCCAGGGGTGTGAAGTCGCCAATGCAGGGCCCCATCGCCTATCCACTTGGGAGCCAGGCTGTGAATTCGCACCCCATGGCTCCAGACCTGTCTGCTCTTGGAGTCCACCGGCAGGCCCCATGCTTTCTCCGCCTTCTGCGACCCTCACATTCCCTCCCGCCTTTGTCTCTGCTGTTGGAGGGCCAAAGATGCACTTGGGGACCAGGGTCCGCCCTTTAGTTTCCTGGTACCCGGGCTCTAGGTCCACCCCTTGGGGCAAAGCCCACGCGGGCGACCGGGGGCTCTGAGGAGGGTCCGCCTCAGGTCGAGTGTGGGCGGGGCGAGGCGGGGCGAAGCAGCGGCCGCGGCTTCAGCACCTCGGAGAGCGCCGTGCCGGGGGCGGGGCGGAGCGGGGTGGGGCGGGGCCTCGAGACCCCGGCCGGGCCCGGGGGCGCGCGCGGGCGCTCTCGCCGGGCCGCGAGCCTTGCGCGGTACGGAGCCGCGCCCTGCCCTGCGCAGGTGCGCCCGCCGCGCCCGCCCCTGCCCGAGCCCCGCGGCGGCGGCGGCCTTCTCGCCGCGCCTCCGCCTCCTTCGCCGCCGCCGCCGCCTCCCCGCGCCGCGCTCCGCCCGGATGGCCAGGGCTGCGCCCGGGAATGGCGGAGCGAGAGAGCGGCGGCCTGGGCGGGGGGGCCGCGTCCCCGCCCGCCGCCTCCCCGTTCCTGGGGCTGCACATCGCGTCGCCTCCCAATTTCAGGTGAGAGTCCCCGGTCGTGCGCGTCCCGCCCTTAGGCCGCGGCTGATCTGCTGGCGGCGAGCGGAGGAGTCCCTCCGCAGGACCCTTCCCCAGCCCCTCGGCCTCCAGTCCAGTGGGCGGCCGCCGCAGATTCCTGGTGCAGCTGGCCCCGCCATTCCACGTCCTGGGGTGGCAGGCTCTGGGCTGGAGTTGGAGGAGGGGGCTCCTCCTCCCCTACTGGGCACTGCGGCTGGGTCCGCGGGTTGGACTGAGATCCCAGCGGAGGCCGCCAGGCAGCTGGGGCTTCGCCCTGCCGGGTCTGAACGTTTCTGACTGCAGATGGGAGCCGGCTGGGGTGGCCCCGGGGTCCCAGTTTCAAGGGGTAATCGACAACCTTGATGCGGGGAGAAGGAAGTCATGGGCCCTTCCCCCAGACTTGCCTGGCCAGGTGGCCCAACTGCCAGACTGGCATGGCCAGGATCCTCTGTGGATTTGGACCCATCTACCTGTCAGGTGTGTCTCAAGGCAGGTGCAGAAGGCGCAGTCTGAGCCAGGGGATCCTAGACCCGCTGTGGGTAGGGGACTCTTCCCAGGAGACCAAGAATGGTGTGAGTGTGGGGGGTCCTGCTGGGTAAGTACCCAGGACCTGCCCGGAGCTCCCCTTCCACCTCACCCCCAATCTGGTGTTGGGCCACTGGGAGTTCAGAGAGGAAAAGGGTGACGTTGGGAAAAGGATTGATGTCCCTCCCTCATAATTCTGACGYCCCCCTCCCGCCTGTGAAGGAGGAAGTGGAGGATGTCACCGCTCCAGAAACTAGAGGAAAGCCAAGGCACCCATTGTTGCCCTGTGGCAGGGCCTGGCGCCTTCCCCTCTCCTGGGGCTCCTGCCCCAGCCAGGCCCCAGCTGGGTTCTGGCGCCAGCCCCTTTGACCATGGGGTCACCGACTCCCAGGTCCTCAGGTGGGCAGCGTCCTCTGGAGATCTCTAATGGCATCATCAGGCTGGGAAAGCTCCCCAGAGTCCTTGAGCCCAGCCAGCAGGACCAGAGGGAGGGGGCCAGAGGGAGGTGCCAAGGAGAGAGCCTCAGACTCCAGCCTCCCTGGAAGGCCCGTGCTGTGGAAGAGAAGGGAGCTGTGGGTCCCTGGGTTCAAATCCTGCTGCCACCAGGCAGGGCTTTGTCCTCTCTGGGTCCCATCTGTTAAGTGGGCTAATTAATATTGATTCCTGCCTGGACAGGGGAGGGTGCACATCAAGCCACTGTCCAGCAGGGATCCATCAGCCCTCCACGCTAGCAGGCATCGTGCATGGCTTCGCTGTGGCGGGTCTCCACRGGAGATCCAGGAGGAGATCCAGGAAGCTGGGAGGCTTGCCCGGGGTGACCAAGGAAGTCAGAGGCTGGGTCCAGACAGGAGCCTAGGTCTGCGTGTGCTCAGTCCACTACTCCCCAGGCCCTACCCTGGCCCCGAGGGCAGCTGTGCCTCCCCACCTGCTCCCACCTCCCCCTGGCAAGCAGCCACAGGCTTCAGTGAAGCGAGCTGAGCAGGGGCACACCGCCTAGGGAGTGTGGCCAGCCCTGAGCCAGGTGGGATGAGGCGGGCAGTAGGCCAAAAGGCTGAGGCGTGGGCAAGCCCTCTAGGACACCTCGGCCTGGCTGTGGAGACAGGGCCAGCTGGTGGGAATAATGAAGGTCAGTGCCTCAGGCCCCACGTGGGCTGCCCCGCCTGCTCCTGCAGCCCTCACTGCCCCTTCTCTTGTCCCGCCTCTTACAGCACCTGGCCCAGCTCCATTCCCCCCTGGGTGGCTTGTGCTCTCTTGGGGTTCTTGGGTTGGGTTGTGGATCCAACAGGCCTGGGTTTGAATCCTGGCCTTCCTTTTTAGCTGAGTGCCCCTAAACTGCACTTAACCTCTCTGAGCTTTCACTCCTTCCTCAAGGTATCTGCTTTTGGCCCTTGCTCAGAGTGGTCCTAAGGCTCAGATGAGACAGCACATGTTGAGTGTTTCAAAGCCATGTGAGCGTGTCCCCATCGCTCAGTGCAGAGTAGGTGCTCAGTAACGCCTTGGCTGTTTATTATTTAATTAAGGGTGAAATTGGGGCTCTTCTCCTCGAGAGAACAGAGACAGCAGTGGTAAGTGCTGGCACAGGGGAGCACTTGAGTGGCCCAGGCACCATCCTAAGGGCTCTCTGTGGCAAGAGCCTTTACTGCCCCACAGCCATACAGACGGAACCTTGTCATTGTGTCTACTTTTCAGATGAAGCAGTTGAGGCGCAGAGAGGTTAGGTGAGCGAGCAGAGCTGAAATCCGAACCCAGACAGTCTGATTTCAAAGCCACCCCCAAAGGGTGAGGTATCAGAGAAGCCCATGGAGAGGGAGCGGGTGGCCGGGCTGGGAGATGGGCATCTGTTTGTTGATAGTTGGTTTAAATAAATAGGTGAGTTGTTTCCCGATCACATGATTCTGTTGGCTTAAATAAATGTGTGCTGATCTTGTTTTATGACTAGTGGCTACCATTGGGTATGGCGTGGGGTGAGGATTTTCACTCCTCCTTTTACATACCTCCATTTTATTTGACTTACTTTTACAGTGTGTCTATAGGTAACTTACAAAATAATAAGAGGAAGTTTATTATTCAAGTGATACATGTTCAGGGTAGAAACTCTACAAGAGAATTTAGAAACATACACAATGGGTACATTGGTGCTGGGTGAGTGGGCTGGAGGGGGAAAGCACAGCCATCTGTGTGGGAGGACTCTCGGGACATGGGACAAAGGGTGTTTGTGGCAAGCAGAGCGTGCAGCGAGGCCTGGGTGTGTGGAAGGGAGTCCTGGATGAGGGACCTTAAGTCAGCTGCCAGGGCTGGGGATGTAGCTCAGTGGTAAAGCACTCGCCTAGCTTCTGACCCCAGCCAAAGAAAAAACGAGAGAGAGAGAGAGAGAGAGAGAGAGAGAGAGAGAAGGAAGAAAGAGTTCAGCTCCCCCGACCAGCCACGCTCACCCACAGGAAGAGGCGCAGGCCTGCAGGCCCAGCAACTTGGGAGGCTGAGGCAGGAGAATCTCAAGTTGGAGGCCAGCCTGGGCAGCTTAGCAAACCCTTGTCTTGGAATAAGAAATAAAATGGTCTGGGGTGCAGCTGGGAGGGAGAGCGCCAGGTTTGAACCCCTGGCACTGCAAAWAGCACGGTAGCAACAACAGGAAAGGGGAGGACCCGCAGACCCCCTGGGATGTGCGGGTGTGGGTGGCAAAGCTGGACAGAGCCCACCCCAGGCTCCCTGGGGGTTCCCAGCTGTCCTGCCACACCAGCTCAGGGACGAGCCGCCAGGCCAGCCAGACGCAGGGACCACCTGACATGTCTCTTCCGGGTGAYACAGTAGCACTCCTTCCTGCATGGACAGTTGTTGGCTCTTGGCCAGGCTCAGCAGGGAGGGAGGCAGTGAGCAGAGGCCCTAGGTGGGTCTGGCCATGTGCGGGCCATGGGAGAGAGGGGAGGCAGGCTGGCTGCGTGTGGCAGTGACCTGGCAGGCTGGCCTGGTGGGTGGGCAGAGACCCCCAAGAGGAGGAGGCCAGGCAGTGTCCTGCCCTGCAGTAGGCAGAGCAGAATGGAGCAGGAGCTTGGAGGCCATGTTAGGATGCGGCCTCTTCACCCACACTCAGTGGGGTGAGGAAGGGTCAGCAGACAACCCGCTGGGAGACTGGCCATCCTGAGGTGACGGGGGGGGGGATGGGGACAGGATGCAAGAGTGACTTAAGGGTCAGATTAGAGCCCCTCCAGGAAGGATCTGCTCTGGGGGTGAAGGGGAGACAGGAGTCATCGTCCAGTATGGTGCTGGGCTCCTGGGGCGAGATGTCTGGTGGGAGATGAGGGGCGGGTGGCCAGGGTGGTCAGAGCACATGGCCACTTGCTGAATCCCAGAGCGGTGGTCACTGGGGACCCAGTCGGAGGAGTCAGGCAACCAGTGGTTTTGGGTCTGGAGCTTCAGGGAGGATTGGGCTGGGAGTGTCCCATGTAGAGATGGTCTCTGTCACCTCTCTTGTCACCTCTCCCTGGGTGAGGAGGGACAACCTCTCCACCCAGGGAGACTAGGCAGAGGGAAAGACAGGCCCAGGACTGGCACCCCACCGGGCAGCCCCTGGCTCTGGGGGGTGGAGGGCAATGGCGCTGCAGCTCTGAGAGCCGGGGCTCTCTGGGGAAGGGCGCCTGGCCCCGGGCTCAGCCCCGCGCTCTGAAGTCCGAGCCTTCAGTTGTCTCTGGACTCCTGGGAATGGCCACGGCTCAGTTCTTGCTTGGGCCCAGTGGCTGCCACAAATGGGTGACCACTGCCATCCCCAGGCGAGGCTCCGCATTCTAGAGGCCCCTGGTCCCCAGGGCCAGCTCACTCTGCCGCGGTCTGCAGGGACGCCCACAGGCCTGGCCTTGTCTCTGGAGGGTCCTGCTGCAGCCCCAGCACCTCCTGCGCAGGCAGGTACTGGTGTCCCCGAGGGCCGGTCCRGGGCTGGAGCAGGTGGGATCCTCCAGCCTAGAATGGGCGGCCCCCAGGACGGACGCAGCTCTGGGACCCGCAGGCACCCGGGAGCGCGGGGTGGTGTGAGCAGCGCTGGAGGCTCACCCAGGAGAGCCCAGGAGGAAAGGTCCCCAGGTCCCCACACGGCGCAGCTGCCCCGTGTTTGTCACCTCCTGTGTGTGACTGTCATCCCGGGAGGTCAGAGCCCCTCTCCTGCTTTTCTTCGTTCTCTTGGTTGCCGTTTCCACGTGGACACGCAGCTCTGCAGGGCCCACTCCTGACGGGACTGTCACCCCCGGGGGCCGGGGCGCCTGGCGCAGGGTCCTCAGCTGCAGTCGCYGCGTCCCAGAGTTCTGCCACCTGTCTGCACCAAGGTGTCCCACACATCACACAGTTGTGACCCGGGCGGGGCTGTCCCTGGGCACTCATCCCTTGGGGTGGATGCTGTTTTCACAGGTGACAGCGTGGCTCGGTCAGGAGGGCATTCCAGCCTGACCCCAGTGTCCATCCCCAGCGGGGTGCGG